TGTTCCAGTCCTGTACTGCCTATTGCAGCTCCATTTCAGTACTATTTTGATTTACTGTCATTTACCATGAAGTCAGACGCTGGCCTCTGTGGAGGATAGCGGCAGTGATGACAGGAGGCCTGTGCACGCTGCAAGGCCGTAGTATTTTGAATTACGTGCCTTTATTTGCCCAAGTCTTTGCATTTCTCTCACCCTCCACAATTCACCTATCAACTCTGGACTAAAAATACTTAGGAAAGCCGTGAGTGGGGAATACAGACTGCTAGAAGGAGCAGCAGAAATAAGAGCTAGGAGAAAGGTAAATTTGTGGCTTCACAGTGGTACTGCTCAGGACCTCCAGGAAAGCAGAGAAGATGCTGAAGTAGGCGTATGAAGTAGAAGAAATTATATTCATTAAGGCAATGAGGATAAAGGGGCTTGCTCTGCTGGATAGGGGAAAAAAAAAAGGCTGTGAAGTAAAGCATGTGGAAAGTGTCATTAGTTTCTCAGTGATTAGAAAACGAAGATAGAAGAAATTAGGAAAGGGGGCAGGGACTAAACTTTCAAGATAAAGGGAAAAAGCTTATGCTACCAGAAAGAAAAAAACATAGCTAATATGTTGAACATACTGTTCCAAACATTTTTCAGCCTCTTTTCTCCCTGTGCAGTAATTTTGTATAAAAACAGAATGCATCTTCCTCTTAAACATGGAAATACCTTCTCATTTGTAAGAAAAGCAATTAATCCACCCACTATCAGAAGCCAAAAAACCTCACATTACCTAATGGTGAGGTGGCTAAACCGTGGCAGGGTTGATCAGCCTGAATTTATTTAGTCTTTGTCAAAGCAAATATCAAAACCACATTTTTGTTTAAAATCTGACTTGTGACACCTGCTTACCTATTTATAGCTGATGAAGTTCTCACAGAAAGCCACAGTCAGTGCTATCTTATCTTCCGGTAAGCAAAGTGCTGTTTACCTTGCACGGGCTCAGCATTCCTTGTTGTTTCCACAGGCAGTTTAATTAGGATGCACGTTCACCCAACAGAAGCAGTGAATGGAGTGGTAAATAATAGTTGGTAGAGCAGTCAGAAGCATTTCATTATCAGCATGGTAATTAAAAAAGATAAAAGGTCAAACAGGACAGTAACATACAACAGGGGTTTGCTGCTCACCAGATTATTTGCTTTGAGATTGTGCTGCCGCACCATTCACAGTCGCATCAATTCAATCCTCTTAGAAAAAGCTCCTTGTGTATGATCCTTGAAATGATCCAATTATCATTATGTTAACTCAGGTCATTTGAGATGCTTTAAATGGAATTATCAATGTGCACAATTTCAATACTTGCATTTAACTGGCCAGTCGTTTAACCTGCTCTGGTGAATTCTGGCAGAATAAAGCTGTACCAGCCATCTATTTCTGTAACATTTTTAAACAATCTGCAATACTTCCCACGTAGAAGTATCTGCTTTGCATAAAATGTGTATAACCGTGATCCTGGGACAAGCAGGTGAACTGTGGCAGGTGAGAATGACAGCAAAAGTGACAGTGGTACAGAAAAGAAATCATCGCCTGTACGGAGTTCACACCACCACAGCTGCCCTGTCTCACCGCTCAGCACTGCTATGGGCCCATGCCTTCCGAAACAAACTACTTTCTTCTCCTGTGTTGAAGCTTTTCCTAATGCTCTAAAGTTACAGATGTCCTCAAGGCAGCAGATCTACTCGAGGCTAGCTCTGAAACTTTGAAATTTCCAGGAAATGTAATAATTCTGCTTGGGATTAGCAGAGCCTTCCTCACTGTGCTTCAAATGTAAAGCTCCTAGGAGGTTCATTCTCACAGCAACATTCGAACTGTTTTCAGGTATACGTATGGCAATCCATAGCTATTTACCCCAAAGCAACCACGTTGTGTATTTCTGCTTGCTTTTCATTTACTGAAAATAATGATGGATTTCATTATTTATTAATTATCATTCCTTAGTATGATTTAAAACTGGTAACATAGCAAACACATCCTTTGCACAATTCCACTGACTTCAGTGTTACACCAAAACCTTTAATTCCAGAAGGGTTACAGTCTCACACAGGTGAATTGAAGTATCATACTATTTCTTGACCAAATTCCTGATTCTTCATGGGAATTGTTCTGCCTTTTTTACTTCCCAAGCACTCCAAAATAAGCTCAGCGAATTCAATACCTTAGAGAGCCAGACACAAGTTTCCCAACTCAATTATTTTTTGTTTATTTTAACACATTTCTGAAAATGTAATATAATCATTATTACACTTCCTTGAAAGTACATATGCTATTAATTACATCATCTGAAGCTACTACTGGCATGAAAAAGTACAGGCCACCATGTGGGTGGAAAAGGGAAATTGGAAGGTAAACAATGAAACGCACTACACTGAAGGGTGGATGAAGTGACCGTAAGAAAGGTGCCTTGACATCTATCGCTGCACAGAAACAATCCCATCGAAGGGGGAATATTCACCATCGGCTACATTCGTCTTAGCCACTGAATCTGCCAGTTAGTACCCACAGAGCAGGATGCACTTGCCAATAGTACCACCGATCGGTTAATCTGGTCACGGAGAAAGGTCTTGCTCAGCCCTAGCTGGGCCTCGATCTGCTTTACTGCAAGTCTAACCTGCAGTGGTGATTTTCTTAGTAGAGACTTCACTGCAGTTTCTTCCTGCTAAATTCTGGGCTGTAATCTCAGTTGATATATAAGTGAGCAAAGGCTATGATAATGAATAGACAGCGCAGCCCCAGCACGTAGCTGGGACAGGGCAAATATTGCCAGACCTTGATGTTGCAGAACCTATCGGTTATTGTCAGATCTCCTTGGGCACTTTCACAACCAAGGGATGAGATAAGAGGATTTATCTTGAAATCTTTTTATTGTGGTTCTCCCTGTCCTCTGGATAGCATGACCTTCCACAGAGCCAAACACCACGTATGCTAGATTTGGCACAGTTTGAAAGCCAGGAAGTTTTGCTCAGGATGTGTTGCGGTGCCGCATGCGACCAGGATGGCGTACGTTTGTTTGTCAGCTGTATTTGCTTGGCTTTTTAACTTCTTAAACACGGCAGAAATAGCTGATGTTGTTTTGAGGCATCTGTACCAACCGGGGCAACAAGACTAATTCACAGAATGAATTGGAGAGACTGGGAGTGTCGCATTGCACATCTCGACAAAGGGTTTATTAGTTGCATTTAACTACATATTCCAAACTTGATAGAATTATCAAGAACCTAAACCCTGAAATTACCCTGCTAGCTTTATGGAAATGAATCAGCTTATTAATGCAAACGTATAATAGAACATGGGCTAAGATAGAGAAATAACGAGTCTTTTAAAAACTAATAAATTGAGAGCAAAGGGTGACCTTGCTCACAAGGTGCTGACCGCAACCCATATTCTGCGTTCAGTTCCTGGCTCCGCTTCAGACGTCCTGGGTGGGCTTTGCCGAGACATATCTATGCCTCACTTCCCCATTAAAAAGGCAATCCATTTGGAATAAGGTTTGTCTCCCAACAAGAGCATGTCAAACACTTAACAGAGTAGCATTCTGCCCTTAACAGGAAGGTCAGTGCTGAACAAAGCAAATAATGAGCAACCACCTCCGTTACAACATAGCCCATATTTCTATAATGACAGGTATCTGTTCCTTCTGAATGCATCTGTTCTGCCCAGGGTCTTAAGGTGTGTATATTTATCTTTGTAAAAGTGACTTACATTTATAAGGGTTTTGTTTGTTCGTTTGTTTTAAAGCCAGTATATTTCACCTGTGTTTGAGGCAGCACAAGTTGGATGTGGCTGACAGCTGTCAGGATCCTGCAGACAGCAATAAACACTACTCTGCAATAATAACTATCCTTTTTTTTTTTTCCTTCTTTTAAATCTCCACTATTTTTGAGGGAAGACTATCTATTTGTAGACTCTGAAACAGATTTAGTATCAGAGTCACTTACAGCGTATTACCTGCTTCCTAAATTCGTAAGTCATTAATAAGGAAATCATTCTTGCAGAACACACAAGCCCTGGTGAACCAAACAGGTGCCCTGTAAAGGAGATTTCATACCATTTCTGTACACTTAATACAGTCCAGAAATATTTTTCGTACACTAAGACTACAACTTCAACTCTTGGATACATAAATTTTGTCAGTAACTGAAAAGGTAATGTGAATTGTGGTTTCCCCTTGCACCCTTCTTAAACTCTTTCTACAGATATTAATGTGCAACAAATCAGCACGTCTGGATTTTCACAGATTTTTTTTTTTCCTCATTAGTAGTTAAATGCCATAGTTCCACGCCAGATGGGGAGCTAGGGAACTTCCGAATTTTTAAGGTATTAATGGTACAACAGAACACTAGATTGTGCAAGTATGCTCATCTTTCTCTGTGAGGTAAAAATTGTCTCAAAGAATTAAGCTTAATGAATAGAAAACAAAATTCTAGTGAGTCACAGCAGACATCAAAATGAGTACCTAATCTGAATTAATTTACTTTCTTAACGCATTACACTGTATTTACAGAATGAACTGGTATTCAGAGTGCTTAAGTGTAGTTTCTGAGATATCTCAATAACTTTGCTCGTTAGATATATTACCTATTTATGGGGAAAAAAAAACCCTAAAGACTCTCCTGAATTTATAGTTATCCGCTATTTTGAGTCTCTATTATTATTCTTATGACATATGTTCACTGACCAGTCTTATTTTAAATTGGAACCTTGTTAATTGAAAGAAGTTGGTTAGATTTCATTTATGTTGAAAAGAATCTAACAATGTTCAGTCAACTCCTAACATTCTTATCTCTGTTTTATCCTGCAAACAAAGTCTATATTAGCATAGAAATTGGTTGAGAAAACACTTGAAGATGGCTTATTTTTAAATACAAAGACATTGACACATTGTGTTAGACACAAAACCTTGACATTTAAGTGAAACTTTTTAAAAATTAAATCCCTGTCATGAATAATATTTTCTTCCTCTTTTCCTCTCCTAGGTGTGAACTTCGTATTTTCTCCCTGAAACTAGGTTACAGCTGAAGAGATCAAGATGGTCCCAAATTACTCTACCGAAGAAACGGTTAAAAGAATCCACGTCGACTGTCCTGTTTCAGGAAGGCACAGTTACATCTATATTATGGTTCCAACTGTTTACAGCATCATCTTTATCATAGGCATATTTGGGAACAGCCTGGTCGTTATTGTCATTTACTGCTACATGAAATTAAAAACAGTAGCCAGCATCTTTCTTCTAAACCTGGCGCTGGCTGACTTGTGTTTTTTGATAACCCTGCCGCTCTGGGCAGCCTACACGGCCATGGAGTACCAGTGGCCTTTCGGCAACTGTTTGTGTAAGTTAGCATCAGCAGGGATAAGTTTCAACCTGTACGCCAGCGTGTTCCTCCTCACATGCCTTAGTATTGACCGATACCTGGCCATAGTACATCCAGTGAAGTCCCGAATTCGACGTACCATGTTTGTTGCCAGAATAACTTGCATTGCCATCTGGCTTCTCGCCGGTGTGGCCAGTTTGCCCGTCATCATTCACCGTAATATATTCTTTGCTGAGAACTTGAACATGACAGTCTGCGGTTTTCGGTACGACAACAATAACACAACGCTCCGGGTTGGGTTGGGTTTATCCAAAAATTTGCTGGGCTTTTTAATTCCTTTTCTGATCATATTAACAAGCTACACCCTAATTTGGAAGACCCTGAAGAAGGCATATCAAATTCAAAAAAATAAGACTAGAAATGATGATATTTTTAAGATGATTGTGGCAATAGTATTTTTCTTCTTCTTTTCCTGGATTCCTCATCAAGTGTTCACTTTTCTGGATGTATTAATTCAGTTACACGTAATAACAGACTGCAAAATCACTGATATTGTGGATACGGCTATGCCCTTCACCATTTGCATCGCTTACTTTAACAACTGCTTGAATCCTTTTTTTTATGTTTTTTTTGGAAAAAACTTTAAAAAATACTTCCTTCAGCTAATAAAATACATTCCGCCAAGTGTCAGCACACATCCAAGCCTAACAACAAAAATGAGCTCCCTCTCATATCGGCCACCAGAAAATATACGCTTGCCCACTAAAAAGACTGCTGGGTCTTTCGACACCGAGTGATGCGTTTTGCAACACACTTTTTTTTGAACAACCTTGCGAACGAAGCAGCAAGAATGACAAAATTCATCTGCAGTCCTGAACATCACAGCTTACTGCTCATTGCAGAAACATCAGATCACCGCAGAGAAATCACACTGTAAAGATGTAGCAGTGGCCTTTTATTTTACATTGTGAAGAGGACTGCTGGTTTTCATTTTGTTTTTCTTTACCGAAAGCAACATAAGTGGTGGACAGGCATGTCAGAGTTTCTGTCAGCATCCTGCCGTTCACTCAGAACTACAAAAGAAGGGTAGAGAAAACTCCTAACTTAAGTTCAAAGATCTTTTTAAAGGAAAAGCTTGTATAAAACACCTGAATTATGAAGGACGTGTTCAGCACATACATGAGTTATTCCAAGTTTTGTTCAAGGAGCTGATAGAGCTACACTGCTTGTTTTGTTGGGTTTTTTTTAAATGACGTAAATGTCATATCGTCATATTTATAATACATTTTCAAATATATGCTATGGATAGAGGCCCAATTTTAAACTCGAATGGAAATTTAAGGTCCTTTAAATTGGTCTCATTCTGATTTATGCTACTATTTTTCATTTTTTAAAATGGCAAATTTTTCATAATAATATATGCAATAAAACGCAGATTTATTTATTAAATAGAGAAGAAATATATTTTTAGATTTATATTCCTACTCATAGATTTCAAACATTGCTTCATGAATGTACATTTATATCCCAGTGGGTATTTTTATAGAAGCTTAAGAAAAATATGTATCTATATATACACACACACACAAATGGCGTTCACTTAACCTTTCCTCATGATCTGCCGCACTGACTTTGAAGAACATTACTTATGGAGTGGGTTGACTCCATACTCTATGTGACTAAAAGTAAAATTCTGTATTTGAAAACATGAATTCTGGCACAGAGGTGATCAGAAAACTTCAAACTGTGTTTGTATAAGAACCAGTGCACTCGATGAGAGAAATTACCAACTAATCAAATCCACTCAATTTTTCAAATTCCTGAACATTTAATAATTCCAATAAGCAAAAATGTGACAATGCTTGTATTACAATTTAACTAATAATGCTTTTAGTCACATCACGAAACATCTGAGACCAAACTTTACTCTTGGCTTTTACGGAATTGCTCTCCATTTATACAAACTAAGCCTAGAGTATTTGCTCCCTGTAGAACCTTTTTTTATGTGTATGGAATGAATTCAAATTTATACTAGCATAAATCAGAACAAAAGTCTGGCTTAAACTCTCCATACAAATGATGGGGGAAAGGTGATAAGCACTGTAGGAAGTTCCAGCCAATGATATCCTCCTATGTCCTTTTTACCTCAAGGAATGAGCTCCAGAAAAATTTATTCTTGATTCACACTCATTTATTGTCTTCAAAGATAAATGAGTTCATAAATACTTTCTGACATAGTAAAACTTAAGAAAAATTCCAAAACTGTACATATATCATGTAGGCAGTTACATGACCCTTGAGAATTTGCAATATTTATAATCTTCAAAAATACACATCTAATGCGGCTTTGTCTCGGGTAGCAAGTGGTTGGATTATCCATATATTCTGATTATCAGTCTCTTGCATATACACAAATAATATTTTAAATTATTTTTTACTTTAGGAAATTATTTTAAATCAAAACACAACAAAAAAGTTATTTCTGTAGTTTAATACTTTTTAAGAAAAAACGGGACTACAACCAGGTCTGGGAATCTTGTGCCTCTTCCTGCTCTTTCATTCACTTATTTTAAGGCAAGTTTCTTCAGTTTTGCCTTTGTTCTTCCAGCTGCAAAATGGGAACAATCTCTACTTACATACGTCACAAGGCACTGTGAAGATTCACTAAAACTTCTAAAGCTGCATGTTAAAAAAAATGCTCTTTCATTGAAGGTTTAAGTTAATTTAATCACAAGCTAGTATCTCAAAATTTGCAACCTGAATGTGTCATGTTAAAGACACGGTTAAATTATTCCTATTTCATATAATGCTTCATATTTAGCTTATATCTATCCTTACACGCGAGACAGCCATTCGTTAAAAATGAAGATGGCAATAGTCCCATGCATTATAAATGGCATCCAGAACAGCACCACTGCCTCAGCACTCAGTAAGCTGACAAAGGACTGACAGAGCCTGCCCTTTATCTGTATGATATTGTGTTCATGTACATGTGTGCACATGCTGAGCAGCATCGGGAGCTTCCCCTGGCAGAGGCAGATCTGCGTCAGACATAATTCAGTGTGCTCTGCTTGCCACCTGCTGGATGCAGCCACAAGTTTGTTTTTCATCTCAAAATTAGTTATAGGAAGAGACAGCAATATTTCCCTGCTTCCTGATGGATCTGGAGATCCTTACCTGTGGCAAAGCTCCTGTAGAAATCAAATACAAACTTGTCCATCGGGGAGGTAGTTAACTTCCTTGACAGAGGCTAAGCAAGCATTTCCTCATCACCTGCTGATCCCTTTGGTCACTGAAACCCAGTGTCCCCAACGACCACAATAGATAGCTCATTTGCAAAACGTTGATTGCATTACTACAAGAGCCATCCCAAAGAGAAGAAATATATATGTGCATAAAAATAAAAATCAAAGCATATTTGCGCACGTGATAACTAAGTACTTAGCTGAAAGGACTCATTTATCACCAAGAAGAAAAAGAAGCAGAATCAGTGGTGACCGTGAACTATAAAAATGACTGCATTACAGTGGAAAACAGAAGAGAAGCCATCAGTTAGTGATTTTGATCAGTTCATGCCAGATCATGCGTTTTTAAGAGACTGCGTAACCCAGGCTGCTGGTGCCACCTGTGCCTACCTGCGTCATGGGAAAAAGCACGAGCATGCACATTTGGCTGGGCTGCTGCAGGAAAGGCAGGAAGGGATTGCAGCTGGTGTGCTTTGAAGGCAAGACTGACCTTGAATTGATAGGCAAAAAGAGTGGAGGGCAAAGCTGCTGTTAAATAGTGCTTGGAAATTTTTGTTCTCCTGAGGAAGGGGTAGGAAAATGATCATCAGCTGCCAAATATAGTGGATCCTAGTTTAATGTTTCCTTAAAAAAAAAAAAAGAAGTGGCAAATCAATGGCTACTGAAAAGTATCCAGAGATAAAACTCTCAAGCAACTCTAACTGGGCAGCAGCAGAGAGCAAACTCCTTTGGAGCACAGTTACTGTGTACAGCCACATCCTGCAGTTTCAGGCATCCCCACAAAGCCCCGAGCTGACAGGTAACTGAAGCGTCCCTGTTTCCCTCAGCACACCCACACCATTTCCATCACACACCTAGCTGCAACCAATGCAGGTGCTGAGACGCATTGCTGCTGAGCCTGACGCTCCTCTGCCCACCTACGTGCTGAAAATACCGGGCTGGAGACCTGTGCGTGGGGCAGGCAGAGCAGCAGCGTGACAGAGTGCAGGATCTGGCCGCTGGTGTGAACCCTTGGCTGTGTGGTCCCTGCTGAGGGGCAGGTGGGAGATGGCCAGGGTATCCTTTGGTGCAAGAACCTACTCCTTGCCAACAGAGGAGGGGGGGAGTAAGATTGGCTCTATATGACTTTGCCATCTTTGGGGAACTTTGGGTTGAGCCATCTTAATTTAATATCAAAATAAGAACTAGCTATGTATGTTTAAGAACAAACTCCCACTATCTTAGAGAACACAAAGTTAATTAAGATGCAGTACTATGCTGTTATTTTAAAAAGAAGTATCCAGAGTGCTTTTCATTCTCAGGATGACCAAAGTAAAATACTTGACAACCTCTTAGTCTGTCCCTGTACTTTCCTGGTGTGAGGAACTCAAGCCAGTATTAATGGGGACAGCATATAGCCAGCCCTAAATATAGGGTTCACTACTCCTAATCTACCACAATTATATTCCGTGGACTTATTTCAATGAATACTTTCTTTCTGCTGGCAGAATAATTACTAAATCACATTATGTTTGACATATACATGCATAATATTTATTTCTATTTATTGTGCGATAGTACTTTATATGACTCATGTTTCATGCTCTGCTCTCTACTTGCTTGCCCATTATATGCCTATCCTAAATCATACTATATAATCTGCACTGGTTAGCCTAAATTCCAATGAAACAATTACAGATACAGTAGGGATTAATTTGGCTTCTCAGTTTAACAATTTCCTCATGTTTACATTGTTAATCAAGATGGTACGAGGCCAAAAGTCCTTTACTTCACCAGAACTACTATTTAGGTGATGGTTTTCATCATCTACTTGAAACTGTGACAGCAGCAGAGAATACAGCAGGATTCCCAGGTTTGGTTTAGTTTTGCTTGCAGAGCTTGAGCAATGATTTATCTTACTGACCTCCTTTTTAAGTATACTGAAGTGCAAGTATTCCCAGGGAGAAGTTTGCAATGGAAAGAAGAAACAAATACTTGGGAGGAGGTGGAAGAAGGCCTAAAAGCAGGGACTTGCCGATTTTGGAAATATTTAGTGTTAAATGTAAACATTTAACTTTATTTTTGCAACAGATGCTAGGGAAAAAGAAAAAAAAAGACCCTAAGACTAAATCTTTCAGCTAAGTAGTAAAAGCTTCCAGAAAGTTTTGAGAGGCTCTTTTAAGTTTCTTAATAATGTCCTGCTCAGTTTGGAACATACCAAGCCATTCTTAGCCCACTCACAAGGTCAGGGTCTCCAGCTCTGCTCTTCTACATCACATTACAGGCTTGGCCAGACCATCATCCCACCAGCTTGTGCAAAGTGATGAGGTGGTTCTATCAATCATCGGGTCCGTTTCAACAGCGACCTCGCTACCAAGGCTGAACTAATAAATCCTCAATGTTAATGGCAGAGCTGTCAAGCTCATTGTCTCTGGTGAGTTCTGCAGACGTGGCTAGACATTCAAGAAATAGGTACAGATGACATTCGAGAACAGCATTACGCGATCTTTAGTAGACTAGTGCCACGGCCTGCAGCTTTACAAGTACTTGATAAATTAGTTAACAGGAACTAGATATTATTTTCTTTTAAATATTTTTGTGGAGTCGTAAGTGGTGAAGTGGTGGATGTTAATGTTTTCTCTTTCAATAGAAATAGTTTTATATTGTAGAAGTTTACTACTGTAAGAACTTTCATTGTCTGAAGCATTACTAAAGACATACACATCATCAGTAGATGTCTTTGTGAAAGCCATCTCCACTGCTGTATTAACCCACCCAAAGCAAAGAGATATGTTTCTATATTATTGTAAGCACTACACTATTATCAGTATATCTATGGCTAGCTATCATCTTCGACAATATCATCCTTACCAAAGTATTTCTATTTAATGCTGTAATATTTTATGCCACCATTCCTCATTCCTTCCAATCTAAAGCCTAACCCAGCACCCCCTAAACTCGAGATGAACAGGCTGTGTCTGCAATTCACAGTGGAAAGGCTACCCGGCTAGCTCCAAAATCACATGTAGAACAGCAGTTCAGTAATTCACTGGTGTTTCCCAGAACTGGCTAAGCTAGTAAAGTTTCCTTGGAATGGATACTTAACAAATTGCTAATTTTCCTATACACAGGTTAGAGTTTAAAGCAGAATTTAGGCTTAACTTTTTAGAAGCTAAATTAAATTATAGGGACAGATTTACCCAGAATATTGTGTCAAATACAGGATCGCATTACATTATGAATAATGGCCCTGAAAAGCCAGGCTCAGGCTGCCTGTAGCCGAGTATTCAATGTAAATATATCCACTTAGAATAAGCTTTGGTGTTTCTAAGCAGTGCCACATTGTACAGGGGCTTCAGTGGAAACAGGATCAGGTTCCAGCATAATAAGAGGGGATTGGTGCTTTGCTTTTTTTTTGCCAGAAGAACGGTAGAATGGATCACATATTTCCATTTCAAATTCGTATGAAAATAAAACTGATTTTAATCTTGCATATCCCTAGTAAACCCCACTTCATACTCTGTTTTATAGTGTCACACACTGGGAAAAAGTGAAAAACAGTTAAAAGCTAGGCCTATGAAATTTTATAGTTTATCTACTGAATAACTTATTTTCTATGTATTTTAGTTATTCCTCAGCTTTATATATATCGGCAGTGCTGTGAGGCTACAATGGAGCACAGGCCCTGGTGCAGGAGGAGGTATACATAGACATACCATCCCTTAGAGCTTTACAGCCTAAGCAGAGGGTGAAAAATTGTTAGAATAGGGTGGAAAGCAAAGACTGTTGCTGAACAAATACAAAACCATGAAGATATTTCACCCTGCTGTTAAATAAATAAAAAAGTAATTTTTTTTTTTTTTAAACCAAAGTGAGCCAAAAAGCTTCTCTCTCATTGAAAATAAGAAAGCAAAGAGTAGAAAAGAAAATACTGCAAGGTTTTATGTTATGAGTGAGGAACAACCCTGCACATACACACACAGACTTTCAACCATCTCCACCTAAAGTTCTCAAGCAAATGTAAATAAATTAAAAAAAAGTAATTTTTTTTTAAACCAAAGCGAGCCAAAAAGTTTCTCTGTCATTGAAAATCAGAAAGCAAAAAGAGTAGAAAAGAAGATACTGCAAGGTTTTATGTTACGAGTGAGGAACAACCCTGCACATACACACACAGACTTTCAAGCATCTCCAACTAAAGTTCTCAAGCAAATGTAAACTTTTTTATGAAATTGAATGAATAACCAGAAATGTTTTAGTCAATAGATGTGCAGAAGATATTAGCAGCCAATTTGCCGCAATTGATTTTTCTTTCAGAAAAAAAAGTTAAATTATACATTAGAAACCCATCCGATAATTATATGCCCAGGAAAGGAAGACCGTGTACTGCACGTAGACTTACATGAGCTTTGCCTACCTAGTCTGAACTCCTCCTCATGCTTAGTTTATCACACGATACACAAATATACCAAAAAAACCAAACCAGAAACCAAGCAAAAAATAAAATAATTTCACAAAAACATAGTATGTATTATAGGAGTACTATGCATATTTAATTTTGCCGAACAGCTATGAAATACTAAAGGATCTGAAATAAGTTTGTTTTCACAAGTTTTTATTCATTTAAGTAGCTTTTTAAAGCTTTTATAAGGATTCAGTTTTGCACTGTAAAAAAAACCTCCAAGCATGATAAAAATCTGCAGACCCAAAGCCCTCTGTCTGTATAAGAGCACCTATAAAGTGAGGGAATGCGTATGATTTGCAGGATACCTTTCAAAGACAAGTCATAAATAAGTGTACATGAGATGTAATTTCACCTACTAGAGAATTTTTAATGTTGAACCTGGGTTTTGTGATAGGATTACTCTAGATAGAAACGTAAAGCAGCATGCAGAAGGGCATACTTTACGTTATATACTAGACTGTACTATGCAGTGCAGTGTATACATGTTAAATCCAGCAAAATTGTATTTCTGGTATTCTTGAATTTCTCTGCTTATCTATGATAGCTTTCTGTACTGTCAGCTGTAATTTTTACATGGGAGTAGACAGTAGATATGCACTGCTCTGTTGCAGAAAAATTTATCACATTTTAGACAGGTTTCTGTCTAACATAACTGCAAAAAAGTAAGCATTTTCCACAGAAACATCTACATCAGACTGATTGTATTTTGAAATACTGAAAATATTAAACAATCCAAAATAACTTTAAATAAGTGTTGGTTTAACTTAATCTTCTCACCATATAGTTAGATTGTTTCTTCCAAGTTTTGTTTCTCATCAAACCTACAGTAACTGTGTTTTTAGCTTTAACTCCCAGCACAGGTAGCAGAACAAAGTACAGAGTCTGATGAGAACACTGGATTCTAAATGAAAGTGCACATTATCCATACAGCTCATACCCCAGAAATTCTGAAGTTGCACGTAACTTTGTTGTGATCAACAGGGTTTGTGACTCAATTTCCTGTTAATTAAAGAAAACTTCAAATGTTTATTGGAAAAATACATTGTACTTATTGCTCAAGTCTAGATAATATTCTACCAAGGGATATATGTGCTCCTACAGTTCTTTTACCTATGGTCTCTTTAAGCATCTAACTTCAGTTTTCTTGTGGGACTCACCACTAATGTGCATATGCTTGACAGATCAGTGCCAAAACAACATCAACATTCATTACTGTGACCCCCAAGTACACGTTGGATTTAAATGTGGAACCGAATCACGATACTGTCAAGACACTAGAGAAGTGTACAGTACATTTTAAAAGCCATCTAAAGGCATATTCCAGTTTTGATGTCTTGCCTCCAGCCCAAAAGAAGACTGCAAACTTTATGTACAAGATAAAATTTTCCTTACACTTCACTGCTTATCTTGGAGCTGTTTAAAGGCTAAATTTTCTGCCAAGTTAATTCAAATATTTTGACAAGGTTATTCCGTGAGAGAACATGCCTCTCTCTCTCTCTCCTGCGATATCATTTGATTGATGATCTGCCTGTGTCACAGGAGAAGCTGATTGACACTGCAAAGCTCCATAACTTCCAGCTACAAGCAGATCATCACCCCCGACATTCAAAACTTGCACAGAATATTAGTGTGCTCTACACACATTTATGGAATCCAGTTTCACTTACTGCAAATAAAGTTTACTCCTCTGGCCCAATACAGCCATGGAGGCAATGGCATTCTGAAAAAAAAATACTGTGGATGGGGACATCCCTAAATTTCGCCTACAGTGAAATACCTGCAATGCCTGCAGTATTGCATTTACTGATAATATAGAATACTGACTGCCACCTAGCACATATCATACACATGCCCCTGCTGCACACCAGCATGCTGCGCTAAAATACACTATGGCTTGTTTTTATTTGGCAAAGCCTTGTATTTAATTAACCATGTCTACATTTAACACTTGTTTTTTCTACTATATGTTCTTCTCCTAAACCACAGAGAGTATTTCACGCATAGCTGTTAAGTACACTATAACAGTGGAGAAAAACACATGGGCAGTACTAAGGAGGTGCTCCATAACTGTGTTGATCCCACATTGTTTTTAAATGTGTGTTTTCACAGAAAACAAAGGAATCTAAGACTTTCTCTATATGCTTTAAATTTGGGAAATGTTTGATTTCCCAAAAGCACAGTGCAATTCTCTCAGGAGGTCTCTACCAAATTTGAAAACAAACATTCTTGTGCACAAGCTTTGAATCACAATTTAAACATTATTTTTAAATTTAAATTAGATTTCTGGTCTACTATTCATTCTGCTGACTGTGCATTTGACAGGATTTTGCTGGCAGTCATTTCAGTATTTCTTTCTCCTTCAGAGGACCTCTTTAAGTAACAGGAGATAAAATATTTTTTTCAGCAGAGGGAAAAAATTCAAAAACACACAGAACAAGAAAGACTTGAAGACAGCTCAATGCAGATGCGGTTCCTAGAGCTGCATTACACGCTATTACTTTCATTACATTGAAAATGGGTAGATTTCAAACTAAGCCTATCTAAAAGGCAGAAGTTGTCTGAAGGGTCAATATTACCTCAGGCTGTTTGAAAGGTATAAATCTTCAGGCATTACAGGAATCAAAGTTGCAAACATGCATTTAAGTATACTTTAAACCCTTTAATATTCTACATTTAGACTTTCAAATTCCACCTTGTAACAGCGAGCATTGCCATTGATTAGAGAACTAAAGTCAAAGCAGTTCCGCAAACATTGGCCACAACCAGCTGTTCCTGCGAGCAAACACTGCAGTCTAAACACCGCCCCTAAGATTTCTGTAGTGCGGTACTGAAATCCGTTTTATTTCCATCTAAAATGGTATTGCTGTATGGACAAGATTATAATTGCTAGCCTGTTAAGTGAGACTGCATTTTTACGATTATGGAAAAAAGAGAAAAATATGCAGTCACCTGCAATGCACAATATGGAAGAGCTTTAAGAATATGAGGAGTGGTACTGTGGCAGGCAAAAGAAATTTATCAAACAAGCACGAACACTGGTTGAATCCTGTTCACACTGACATCAGCTGGACTTTTACTGTTGGCTTGAATGAAAAGACAACACTCAGTTCCAAGAAGTCTCACATGCTACCATTAAGTTTAGAAATGGAGCAAAAATAGCATCTGAACAATCATTTTATCTCCTCTTGTACAGAGATGAAAATACAGCATGCAACCACAAGAAAACTATTTGCATCATCACGGCATGTACACTGTGCAATCAGCTGGGCGGTTCAACACGGAACAGATCGAGTCAAAATGATGGAACCAAGCATTTGATCCATCTGCTTGGAAAGGTTGTTTTAAATACAGACAAGACAATCTAGAAAATACCAGAAAAATTAAATACTTTATTTCCTTATGCTATGAGGCAGCTTCCTAGCCATCTTCTTTGGGTTTTTTTAGTGCACAGCACTTCTTTGTAGCATATATTAATCAGGAAATTAACCTGATGTTATTCTGCCTCACTATCAGAGAGTTTGAAGTCATTTGCATTAAAACCATGTACAGTGTTGCTTAGTAACAGAGGCAGTGGAATAAAGCCATAAATTAGGAGGAGGAAGATGAGGCAGGAGGAAATCATAGCAGCATAAAAACTTTTATTGGCACTTAAGCGTATTTTTCCCTGATTGAAGCAGAATTCATGAAACAATTACAACCCCATGACAAAGGCTGTTAATGATTAGCCCTTAAGAACTACTGTTATTTTCTGACAATTCGGAAGCTGGTTTTGTTTATTTCGGGAAAGGAAACATCAAATCTTTGGACTATCCAAAACTGAAGACAAAGATTAGCACCAGCTAATTATCCAATGCCAGCATTTCACTGAAGCTCCCACTGTAGAATAGGAGGCTTATGTAATAATTTATAACTGCAATTAGTTCTTGTCACCCAATCAGAGTTCTAATATACACTTCAGTACCCAGTACTTACATTATGCTGCACAACAGTGGAAAAATACACAATCCAATTACAGTGAAGGAATTATTGGAGAAAGAAAGTTGTGAAACAATTTTAATAAATTTAGTCATAAACACTGACAGAAAGATAAATGTTATAAAAAGAAAAATCAGTATTGTAATAAAGTCAAGTCTACGTTAAGTCTTTCAAGCACTTAGCAACATTTGTACCGTGATGTAAACAAAGATACACCTTTCTCATAGTAGCTAAAAATTACTTTTACTCAGTTATGGAATGTAAAAGGTTTTTTGTTTTAAAGGTCATACAACAAGGCTTGCATAGAACAGAGAACTTTTACGATTCTTCATAGCAGGGACCCAAGAGGCATTCTCTAACTTTATTAGAATCTTGGCTTTGATTTACTCACGTTATTTCAGTGAGCTTTGAAAGGTCCAATCCTAACCCTATAAATTAAAAAAATTGCTCAAAGC